GTGGTTGATGTAAGTGTCAAAAATGAAGTAGTTGATGTAAAAACAAAGAATGAAGTAGTTGATGTAAAGGTAAAGAATGAGGAGGGTTCATCGATGCAAAGGCTGTCGGATCCAAAGCCATCAGAGCATCCTCTTCCAATCCATCACCGTCCCATTCAACATTCATCTACCAAGGGGTGTAAAAGAACACCATCAGAGATCTTTGTTGAGAGAAAGGCATTGTTGGCCAGCTATGAATCTCTTCAGAAGAAAACCCCAGAATCAACTCAGATTTCTAAGGAGAAGCCAGCACAGGTAGTAGTTGTACAAGGCCCAGCCCAGCCTACCGTACAGAAATCAATTCGTGCCTGCATCCTGAAATCAAATTCGATGTCTCCACAGGAAGTTGCTCGACTATCTCCATCTAAGGAAGCTGATAAGGAATCTGATAAGGTGGCTGATAAGGTGTCTGTTCAGGACTCTGCTGAGACATCACAGCAATCAACAGTGTCATCTAAGTCATATGATGAGCCAGGAATGTTCACAAGTATGTGGTATAAGATTATAGGATTGTGCTGCTGCATAAGCACAGTAGAAGACGAGATCACGTACACGACGGATGAATAAACTAGTGGAATACGTTTTAAAATATATTATTTTACTATTAGTTTCTATGAAGCAACTTTAGTACGTTTTTACCTAAAATTTGACATGTTGTTGCATAATAAGTTTTAACCCCAGATCTAGTGATATTAAATTACTTTACAAAGTGTATCGAGAATACTTCGAGGAATCTGAGGATGAGCTGATAGCAGAGACAGGCGCGAAACGAACCATTTAACGACGACCAAGCCAATGCCTCTCAAAAAACCTCAAAACGATGGATTTGGCGTCTTAATGGCTATATGAGACATGCAATGTGATCCATCCGTGGCAGAAAATACGGGGATTCCTATACCCAATTTATATTTGAAACGATTTGTTTAGGTTTGTTATCCTTACCACAATTACAACTACTGTTGATACAGGGTAATATGTCGATTTTGGTTCCTTAAGCAGCAACTTTCGGTCTAAAACTAGGTGTATGGGTATTTATGCGGGTAAAACGATTCATTACAAATGTTTCAGTGGAGAAGACGAGGATTATCTTATTTTTGATGCTTTATATCCATTCTTTATACACTAATTTGATGGTTTCAGGTGTTGTAGAGTCGCTCTCTTGTGTATAATTATGTAATTCAATTCTTATGATCGGCTATTTATAGATTATTCGTTAGTTTCTTGATGCGCCATCTTTCTTCCTTTAAAGGCAACATGAAGCAAGAAAGTATCTGAAAACAGGCTCAACTTATACCGACCGACACTTATAATCCCATCTTAGCAGCACAATCCATATTATACATGTATTTATTTTCATATTGTTGCAGTACCTGTACCAATATTTTTTCTATTTCATTCATGTGATCACTGATGTTGAGTGTTTCCATTTACTTTCAGTTTTATGTATAGAGAAAACATACCGCTTTTTGAATATGCCCAATGTTCCATCACTACTCTTTTTATCGCATTATGATATGGTTTTATGCTCATTTACATTCTTAAAAAACACAAAATAGCATTTCGAGTACCGATTTGAATTTATTTTGTAAGTTTTTAAAAACTATCCTATTTATAAGGATTTCAATTACTTAACACCTACTGTATATTAAAAAATCATGTACTAAAATTTTTTATAAATATTCAAAATAAAAGTGATTCATTCTTTTTAGCAACAGGGATAAAACAAATACACGAATTACACTTTAATAAATCTTGTTTTATCTTCACAAAATTATCTATTTAGTATATATTATACTTACTTAATTTATTTTTAAAAAGATATGTGTTGTCACATTTAA